GTGGTGGCACACACCCGTAGACCCAGCTACTTGGGAGACTGAGGTGGGAAGATTGCTTGAGCCTGGAGGCTGCAGTGAGCCAAGATTTCCCCCACTGCACTCTAGCCTGGGTGATGGAGCAGACCCTGTCTCAGAGTAAAATAATACAATGAAATAGTCTTGGTTTCCGCAGTCAGTATGCAAACACTGCTGCCCCTCCATTCCCCGACTGTATTTGGTTTGTGTTTGGAATTGTCGGGAGCATTGTGTCCTCTACCGAGAGCAATGGGTAGCTTTGCACCATGGCTGCACTAATTGGTTTGTGAAAGATAGATCAACTCCTTGCTTTTTCTTTATTCTTTTTTTAAAAAAAAATTATAAAAGCCGTACACTCAATTCAAATATTTAGTAGGAGGTGAAGTACAAAGCGGAAGTTCCCTTCTCCTTTTGCTTTCTCTCTCCTCAATTTATTTCCTGGGGATACAGTTGGGGACTCATCCCTTTGAGATTTTTAAAACCCAAGATTACATTGAAAGAACCAGATACTACTCACTGTCCTAGTCATCTTAAGGGCACAGCACCCCTGTGTCTGGGGAGCTGCCCAAAGTCTGGAATGTAGATATGGGGCAACAGGAATAGTGACAAGAAGGAAGATTATAGCAGAGCCAGGAGTCAATTTTATTTTTCTCATCATTATAATGAAATGACTTATTGAAGGACCTGCTATATATTACATTAAAAATCCATATAGTATCGGTTGGATCCTTTCAAAAGAGTGGATTTGATTCTTTCTCCTGCATTATTTTGTAGCTCTCACTTTGTGTAACCTTTGGAAGGATCCTTTGTGATGTCTTAATGCTTGAGCCTGTATTTAATGCTTGCCATCTGGAAAGATGTCACATGAACAGTCTGTTTAAAGTATGGAGGAATAGCATCCACTCTTGGGCTTCTTACCAGCTCTACCTCCTCATCCCTTTCAACCCTGGACCTTTTGTCTTCCATGCTGGCCCCCAGGTGACCTCACCCAGCTTTCTGGCTTTATCTGTGCAGAGATCACTTCCCTGAACTCGAGACTTTTCTATCCAGCTGCCTACCCTACATGCACCTGGGTGTCTGAGAGGCTTCTCAAACTCACTGTGTCCCAGATCTCCCTGACAGCCCAGCCACCCTTTATTCTTTCCTAACTCCATCTGTCCCACTGTTCAGGCCATCTATTTGGGCAACATCCTGAGCTTTCTCTCATCCACATGCAGTTCATCAGCAAGTTACATTGTTTCTCCTTTCAGAAGAGACCTGGGCTTGACCATTCCTCAGGCTTGCACCAGTTCTCAGTCCAGCACCTCCAAGCCACCATGACCCTGGACTTAGATTGTTTCATCAGCCTCCAAAATGGTCTTTTTGCTCCACGCCTACTCCCCACCTCTTCAGTCAATTCTCAACATAGCACTCAGAATGTTTCTACTAAATTATTAGTCAAATAGCATCTTCGGTGCTCAGAATCCTTTGGTGGCTCTCTGTTTCATTCTGAGTAAAAGAGCCCTTGCAACGACAAGGCCCTGGGAGGCTTGCACCCTCTCACCAGCTCTCTCCTGCTCCATGGTCCGTGTCCAGTCTACTACAGCATCAGGGCCATGCTGTTCTGGAAGCCTGTGGGCATGTTTCCACCCCAGGGCCCTTGGCTGGGTTGTAGTTTTACAAACACCAAATGGCTCCTTTCCTTACCTCCTTCAAAGTCTTGCTCAAAGGCCACCCCAGTGAGAACTCCGCCAACCCTGTTTAAAATTGCAAACCATCTGTGCTTAATTTTTCTCTAAAGCGAATTTCTCATACTTTATTCATTTCCTATTTATTTTATTAATTGTTTGCCCCCTGCACTAGTGTCTAAATATCATGGTGACAGGATTTATGTTATTGACATAGTGAGGACACATTTGACTACATAGCAGTTAAATTCTTGTAAGACCACATTAACTAAGTTAACTATTTTCTGTTTTAGAGACAGAGTCTGTCTCTTTTGCCCAGTCTAGAGTGCAGTGGTGCAATCATAGCTTACTGCAACCTGGAACTCCTGGGCTCAAGCGATCCCTCCCACCTCAGCCTCTTAACTGGGACCACAGGCATGTGCCACCATGCCTGGCTAATTAAAACAAACTTTTTTTTTTTTTTTTTTTTTTTGAGACAGAGTCTCACTCTGTTCCTAGGTGCCAGGCTGGAGTACAATGGCCCGATCTCGGCTCACTGCAACCTCCGCCTCCCAGGTTCAAGCAATTCTCCTGCCTCAGCCTCCCGAGTAGCTGGGACTACGGGCATGCACCACCATGCCCAGCTAATTTTTGTATTTTTTAGTAGAGATGGGGTTTCACTATGTTGGCCAGGATGGTCTCAATCTCTTGACCTTGTGATCCACCCACCTCAGCCACCCAAAGTGCTGGGATTACAGGTGTGAGCCACCACACCTGGCCTAAAACAAACTTTTTTAAAAGAGTTGAGGTCTTGTTATGTTGCCCAGGCTGGTCTCGAACTCCAGGCTCAAGCAATCCCCCTGTCTGCCTCACAAAGTGCTAGGTGTGAGCCACTGTGTCTGGGCTAATTATTTTCTGGATCTTGTCTTTTACATTTATAATAAAGGGTCTCATAGGTAATACATTGACCCTTCAACAATGTGGAGATTAGTGGTGCTGACCGCCCACATAATAAAAAATCTGCTTATACTGTTTGATTCCTCAAAAACTTAACAACTAAAAGCCTACTATTGATATTATAAACAGTTGGCTAACTGTACTTTATATAAGTATTATATACTGTATTCTTAAAGTAAGATAGAGAAATGTTATTAAGAAAATCATAAGAGAAAATACATTTACTGTTGATTAAGTACATTTACTGTTCATGAAGTGGAAGTGGATCCATCATCCATCACAAAGGTCGTTATCCTTGTTTTTTTCACAGGGAGTAGGCTGGGAGGGAGGAGGAAGGGGAGAGGTTGGTCTTGGTATCCAAGGGATGGTAGAGGCAGAAGAAAATTTATGTGTAAGTGAATGGCACAGTTCAAACCCATGTTGTTCAAGGGTCAGCTGAATATAAAGAGCTAGTAATTAATAAGCACAAGGCAGATAACCCTGTAGAAAATTGGATACAGGGCAGTGAACAGACTTTTGACGGCAGAAATACAGACATGCTTAAAAAGATGACAAATGCCCAGCCTCGTTAGTAATAGGGAAATACAAATTAAAATAGCAAGGTATCTTCATCCATGGATTGGCACAGATTACAAACATTGGTAACATCTGGTGTGACACAGGGTGTATTCCTAAGATTCTCTCAGGCGCTGCTGGTGAACGTGCATGCTAGCACAGGCTTTGGAGGATAATGATATCGGTAAGATATTCGGTAGTCTGTCTACTTACCTATGTGTTACAGCACATAGAAATGTGTCTTGTTTTAATCAGTTGGAACACTATTATACAAATGGTTTTATATACTTCTTGTTTGTAACATTACTTTTATCTGTTATAACTATAAATGTATACATTTTGGTGACCCCATTATATATATATGTATATTTTTTTGAGATAAGGTTTCACTCTGTTGCCCAGCTGTGCAGTGATGTGATCATTGCTCACTGCAGTCTCCACCACCTGGGCTCAAATGATCCTCCCACCTCAGCGTCTCCTGAGTAGCTGGAGGTATGTATATACTCCATTACACCCTGCTAATTTCTAAAAAGTTTTTGTAAAGATGGGTTCTCAATATGTTTATCATACTGCTCCCCATCTTTTGATAAGTTTCAGTTTATGCTTCTATAAATAATGCCAGATGTTTATTCCTAGAACTTCTTACCTATTTCAGATTATTGCCTTAGATTTTATTTTATTTATTTATTATTTTTTTTTAAGATGGGGTTTCACCATGTTGGTCAGGCTGGTCTTGAACTCCCGACCTCAGGTGATCTGCCCACCTTGGCCTCCAAAGTGCTTGGATTACAGGTGTGAGCCACCATGCCTGGCCTGCCTTAGATTTTAGATTTAGCTGTTAGATTCCCTTGATAAATAATGCAAAAAACTGCTTTGGAAACTGTAACCTTTATTTGAACAATGACACAGCACATTGCTTGCAGAACGAGTGTGGGGCAAGGATCTCCTGAGTCCCAAGCCTGCTTTCTCTTTTGTAATCTTCTGCCTTCTCTTGGGATTTAAGCAAAAGATCAGAGGTTCTTTTAAGCAAAAGATCAGAGGTTCTTTCCTTAATTACAGTGCTTCCTGCAAGCAAATGAAAGACAGAAATCCAAGGCAGAAATGTGCACTTGCTCTTCTATATTAGCTGTGGACTCTATGAGAAGGTCTAGTGTTTGTGTAGCATTTCAGCTTCTGTCTTTACAGCTGAAGTAACACCAAACCGCAGAACATGTAAAAATGTTTTTCTTACATGTAAATATTCCTGTTTATAATTTACTATGCTACCTTTTAAAATTAATGGGTAACATTGTTACATCTGATGGGCAGGGCTCTGCACCCTCATGTAGGCTTTTCAGGGTCTCCACACTCATCCACTTTTCCAGGCCACTCCCCTGCCTCCTCATCTTGCCCACCCACTGTGCGGTGGTCCACTGGAACTGGCAGTCTACTTGCCACTCCTCTCTGCCATGTGGTTATGCAGAGTCTTCCCTCCTGAGCCAGCACTCTCCTGCCCCACATCGAATCTGCAAGTCCCCCTCGTCCTGTAAGACCAGCCTCCAGAAGCCTTCCAGTACCTTCTGTAGCAGTTCTTGGGGTCCTGCCCAGAGGCAGTCGCTTCCTGCCCTGAGGTTCCACTCACTGATGTGGCACTTGCCTTGCTGAATGCCGTGCTTGCTCGTCAGACCATCTTCATAACTAGATGGAGAGCAACGCTCAGACAGAATCTGCCCCTCGTTAATTTCTGTGTCTTCTGCAGAACACCTGCTACTTAAAAGATGGATGTTGTTTCTGGTCACTAAATTAGGTGAGAGTTCAGGCTTGATGTTCTCTGTGGCTTTGTTGCAGGTCTTTCTGTCTGAGTGGAAGGAGCGCAAAGTTGCTCTCTCACGGCTCACCAGCCTGGAGATGAAAGATGATTTCCTCCATGGACTGCAGATGCTGAAATCTCTACAAGGTGCACATGTTGTCACGCTGCTTGGCTATTGTGAGGATGACAACACAATTCTTACTGAATATCATCCTCTAGGTTCCTTGAGTAACCTGGAAGAAATACTAAATCTTTCAAAGTACCAAAACGTGAACACGTGGCAGCACAGGCTGCAGCTGGCCATGGACTATGTCAGCATCATTCATTACCTGCACCACAGTCCCATGGGCACGCGGGTCATGTGCGACTCCAATGACCTGCCGAAGACACTGTCCCAGTATCTGCTGACAAGCAACTTCAGCATTGTGGCAAATGACTTGGACGCCTTACCCCTGGTGAACCACAGCTCCGGGACGCTGGTAAAGTGCGGCCACAGGGAACTGCATGGGGATTTTGTGGCTCCAGAGCAACTGTGGCCCTACGGAGAGGACATGCCTTTCCGCGATGATCTCATGCCCTCATATGACGAGAAGATCGACATTTGGAAGATCCCAGATATCTCCAGTTTCCTTCTGGGGCACGTTGAAGGGAGTGATATGGTTCGATTTCATTTGTTTGATATTCACAAAGCATGCAAGAGCCAGACTCCCTCAGAAAGACCCACTGCTCAGGACATTCTGGACACCTACCAGAAGGTCTTGGATACGCTTAGAGATACTGTGATGTCTCAGGCAAGAGAAATGCTGTGAAAACCAGACCAGCCAGTGAAGGTGGGATTGAAGGGCTGAATGGAAGTTACAGCATTCTACTCTGAGGGTGGAGTTTTTTGCCTGAGTTTTGTGTTTCATTGTTTTTTATGGCTTAGCCATGTGGTTCTTTGTTCACATCCACGTGTACATTGGCATGTGTTCCGAATTGGTTGTTAGACTTATTTTTTTTTTTTTTTTGAGACGAGGTCTTGATCTGATGCCTAGGCTGGAGTGAAGTGGCATGGTCTTGGCTCACTGCAGGCTCCGCCTCCCAGGTTCAAGCAATTCTCCCATCTCAGCCTCCCGAGTAGCTGGGATTACAGGTGCACCACCACGCCTGGCTAATTTTTGTATTTTTAACAGAGACAGGATTTCACCATGTTGGCCAGGTTGGTCCCAAACTCCTGACCTCAGGTGATCCACCCTCCTTGGCCTCCCATAATGCTAGGATTACGACACAAGTCACCGTGTTTGGCCAGTTGTTAGATTTCCATGGATTTGCAGTTTCCAAAGTGTCTCTTGTTATTAATTTCTGCTTTTATTCTATTGTGGTCTGAGAAGGTACTTGATATGGTTTAGATTTTTAAAAATTTGTTGAGGCTTGTTTTGGAGTTTAACATATGGTCTGCTGGAGAATGGTCCATGTGCTGATGAGAAGAATGTATATTCTGCAGCTGTTGGACGAAAGGTTCTGTAAATGTCTTTTAGGTCCATTTGATCTGTAATGTAGATTAAGTCCAATGTTTCTGTCTAGATGATCTGCCCAATACTGAAAGTGAGGCGTTAAAATCCCCAGCTATTATTTGTATTAGGGTCTGTCTTTCTCTTTAGTTCTAATAATGTTTATATATGTGAGTGCTTCGGTATTGGGTGCATATATATTTAAAATGTTACGCCCTTTCACTGAATTGATCCCTTTGTCATTATGTAATGATCTTCTTTGTCCCTTTTGGTGTTTTCTGACTTAAAGTCTATTATGTATAAGTATAGTTATTCCTGCACTCTTTTGGTTTCCATTTGCATGGAATATTTTTTTCCATCTGTTCATTTTCAGTCTATATGTGTTTTTACATGTGAAATGAGTTTGTTATAGGTAACATATAGTTGAATCTTTTTTTTTTAATCCATTCAGCTAGTCTATATCTTTTAATTGGAGAATTTAAATTATTTACATTCAAGGTTTTTATTGATAGGTGAGAACTTAGTCCTGTGCTTCTGTTGTTTTCTGATTGTTTTGTATATATTTTGTTCCTATCTTCTATCTTCTGTTTTCTTTTTTGAGACGGAGTCTTGCTCTGTCTCCCAGGCTGGAGTGCAGTGGCGTGATCTACTGCAATCTCCACTTCCCGAGTTCAAGCATCTCCTGCCTCAACCTCCCAAGTAGCTGGGATTACAGGTGCCCACCACCATGCCTGACTAATTTTTATATTTTTAATAGAGACAGGTTTTCACCTATCTTCTTTTATATTGTTTACTTTATAATTTGGTGGGTTTTTTTTTTTTAAATAGTCATAATGTTTGACTCCTTTTTGTTATTTCTGTATCTGCTCTACCAGTGACTTTTAAGCTTTTGTGTGTTTTCATGATGGTAGATACCATCTTGTCTCTTCCAAGATCAGATGAGATTGGGCGCATTCAGGGTGATATGGCTGTCTTTCTCTTCCAGATGTAGGATTCCCTTAAGCATTGCTTGTAGGGCTAATCTAGTTGTGATGATTCCCTGTTGTTGTTGTTTTGAGATGGCGTCTTGCTGTGTCGCCCAGGCTGGAGGGCAGTAGCACAATCTCAGCTCACTGCAACCTCTACCTCTTGGGTTCAAGTGATTCTCCTGCCTCAGCCTTCCAAGTAGCTGGGATTACAGGTGTGTACCACTTCGCCTGGCTAATTTTTGTATTTTTGGTAGAGACGGGGTTGGTCTCAAACTTCTGACCTCGTGATCCACCTGTGTTGGCCTCCCAAAGTGCTGGGATTACAGGCGTGAGCCACTGCGCCTGGCCTTTTTTTTTCTTTAAACTAAATTATCATTAATGTTAAAATTGAACTGACCATGTATATAACTGCTTTTGCTGCTTTCTCACATAACTGTCTAGGGTTCATTCAGCAGATCACAGAAGTGAGGTCTGGCATTTAACAAACAGACTAATGATAGAAGAGATATACTGATTTGCGCAAGAATATCAAAACACTATCGTGTGGTTTAGTGTAGCTCAGGTTAGGAATCGGTGCCAACTCTTGCTGCAGCGTCTTCTATACGGTTTTATCTTGGAACTCGGTGATTTGTTTTTTAAGTTGACTTTCTTCACCGAAAAGAGTTGTTTCATGATACTCTTCATGAATTGTTCATATAGCAGCTTAATCTCTTTCAGTTGCTGTCTTCTAACAATGCTAACTTGTTGCCACCTCTTTTGTTGCTCTTGAAATATTTTGGTTTTTCTTCCACTCCTCAGTCTTCTGCATGTCTATGTTGTATTCTTAAAGCAAAGTCAGCAACTGCATTTCTGCCTTTTGTGTTCTCAAAATACGTTTAGTTCTGTTCTCAGTGTCGATGCAAACTTTTGTATACATTTGAAGCCTTTGTGTGTGTGTGTGTGTGTGTAGCAAGACCCTGTTTAATGGCAGCTGCAATTACTTGTAGCTTCTGTACATCAACCCCCTTGTCTTCCTCATCTGTTTCTGCAAAAGGTTTTCTTTCCTCATGCTCATCAGTTTTTGGATCCCTTTCCCCATGCTCCATTTCTTGGGCGGCCATGATCTGATCTTCTAACTGGGCCTGGGCAGCCCTCCTGTTGCTCTTCCTGCCCTTGGTTGCAATCGCTGGCTGTTCTGGGACACCAGAGGTGACTCCTGAACCCTGAGGGACTCTTGATGGCACTCTTTCACAGGGCCTGCATGATGAGGCACTTTGAGGCTCCTCCGAGGGCCTGGGTCCTCCTTCCCTCAGTTTTTACTTTTCTGGGAAAGACTTTATTTCCCCTTCAATTTTGAAGGATAGCTTTACTTAGTTTAGTATTCTTGGCTGGCAGTTTTGTTTCAGCACTCCAATATATTTTATCATTCTCCCCTGACCTGTAAGGTGGTGTCTTTTTTAAAAAATTTTTTTACAGGAAAGTCTCATATGTGACTTGATGCTTTTCCGCTTGCTGTTTTTAGAATTCTCTCTTTGACTTTTGACAGTTTGACTGTAATGTGCCTTGCAGAAGACCTTTTTGATTTGAATTTTTTTGGGGATCACTGAGCATCCTGTATCTGGATGTCTGTATCTCTTGTAAGACTTAAGAAATTTTTGACTATTATTTTGCTAAATAGGTTTTCTATGCCTTTTCTCACCTCTTCTTCTGAAACACTCACAATTTAAATATGTGTTCGCTTGGTGATGTCCCATTTTTTTGGTCTGACTGGATTACTCCAAAAGACCTGTCTTCAAATTCAGAAAATCTTTGTTTTGCTTTCTCTAGTTGTATTTTAAAATTTTATTCATTGAATTTTTCAGTTCCATGATTTGTTTGGTTATTTTTCTATGTCTATCTCTGTTGAATGCCTTATTCAGATCATGAATTGTTTTCCTAATTTATTTGTATTATCTGTGTTCTCTTGTAACTTGCTGAATTTCCCTAAGATCATTATTTTGAATTCTTTTTCAGGCATTTTATTATTTTTATTATTTGAGACAGAGTTTCACTTTTGTTGCCCAGACTGGAGTGCAATGGTGTGATCTTGGCTTACTGCAACCTCCGCCTCCTGGGTTCAAGCGATTGTCCTGCCTCCGCCTCCTTAGTAGCTGAGATTACAGGGATGCACCACCATGCCTAGCTAATTTTGTATTTTTTAGTAGAGATGGGGTTTCTCCATGTTGGTCAGGCTGGTCTTGAACTCCTGACCTCAGGTGATCTGCCTGCCTCGGCCTCCCAAAGTGCTGGGATTATAGGCGTGAACCACCATGTTTGGCCTTTTTCATGCATTTTTATGGATTTCCTTTTCTTTTGGATGTGTTACTGGAGAATCATTGTGTTTCTTTGGAAGTATCTCTCTGGAGGTATTGTATCTCTTTGGAGCACGTTTCCTTGCTTTTTCATGTTTCTTGTGTCCTTAACATTGATATCTATTCATCTAGTGGAATAGTTGCTTCTTCCAATTTTGTGGATTGGCTTTCATAAGGAAATACTTTTGTGTAGGCATATCTATAGTTTTGGCTGAGTAGGATGTTTTGGCTTTGATTCTGTTGGGCACAACATCAATGATTTCTTCAGCTGTAGTCAGTGTCACTGTGAGTGTCTGTGAGTCCTCAGTGGCTTAAGCTGTCTTTGTTAGTTGAGGCTGTTGCGGGGCTTTTCTGGGCACAGGGGGGCCAGAGGGGCCAGTCCCTGGGCCTTTTTGTGACATGTGCAGGCATTAGCTGTGGTGGCTGGTGATGGGCTGAGCATGCAGGTCTTTAGGACCCCAGCTGGTGTAAGCGCTGGTAGTGAATGGTAGCGGGGGGCCCAGGTTGGCTGGTCCTCAAGCCCCAAGGCAAAATTTATGGTGCTGGCAGTAGCAGCAGTGGGCTGGACATTGGACCCTCAGGTGGCAATCACAGCTGTTGGCAGTACCTGTGGCAGGATGAATGGGCTAGTTTCCATTCCCTAGGTGATGCACTTGGGTGGGCACTGGTGGTGGTAGGTGGGGCAGGCCTGTTCAGGCCTTGGGATTGTGTGTGTGGGCACCAGTGGTGTTGGATGGGGTGGGCCAGTCCTCAGGCCCCCTGACAGCATGTAGGCACCAGCAGTGGCACGAAGGAAAGATGGCACCTGAGAACACTGGGTAGGGCAGGGCTGTCTTTAGGTTCTTGGATGGCACATATGGACACACTAGTCTTCAGGTCCCCTGAAGGTGCATGCAGGTGTGCTGTTGCCCTGCTGAGAGGGGCAGGGTTCTTTTGGTGTCATTGGTGTTGGGAAGGTGGCTTCCAGATTCTGGGAGCTTCAGCTCCCTTTTTCCTGGGGGCAGCCTCCCTAGTGTGCTACGCTGCCTGTTCCCTGGAATAT